TGTAAGCGTGAAGACGATTGGCTACGAAATCGAATATATCAATAAAAAAATAAAAACGAAATAAATTAGTGGCGGCTTCTGCAAAAAACACAACAAAAATTAATCAAACAAAAAAAAAAGAGTAATTAATTAAAAATAAATAAAAAAAACTTTGCTCCAAAAAAAATACCCAAAAAAAAAATAAAATACAACAAAAAAAAATTAATTAAATAATTCAATTTTACTTACTACCAATAAATAAAAGCTATAAATTTTCTTCTTTTAAATGCAACGAAATAAACTAAGAAATAAAGAGATAGAGAAGGGCGTGTTTTTTCTTTGTGTGTGAATGGATTTTTCTCTACGTTTTTTTTTTTGTTTAAATTCCCTTCTGAAGGAAAGATGAGAAGTTTTACGTTTTTTTTTTGTCCCATCTTCCTATGTAAATGTTAGTCGAAGCTCGACCGTGTTTCGCAAAAGCTTTATTTCTGTTCTTTCTTTTCCCAACAAAAAAAAAAAAAACAATTGTGAAATGTGCATGTATCAAATAATTAACTCAATCGAAGTGCGAATCGTATGCGTTAATCGAAAGCAATATAAATAAAAAAAATTGTAGTACAGGCGACAGTTTCATGAAAAATTTTGTAATAAAACAAGAGGATAAAATTATAGTAATCATGATGATAATAATAATAGTAACAGCAAAACCGTATAGCCAAAATAAGTATTACTACATAATGCACATTACACAAGCTCGTCGTATGTCAAATTAATTAATTAAACCAACTCTAATAAACCACAAAAGCTTTGTTTCTTGTTTATATAAATAAAAGGCGAAGACTCGTCAAAATCTTATCACTCTCTTCCAAATCCAGTGATGATTATGATTATGTATAAAAATCTTTAAACTTATACAAGAGAGAGAGATAATTAAAGAGAGAGAGAGAAAGCGGATGTGACGCGGGAATTTCGATTAATAAACTAAAAGTGGATAATAAAAATGGGATTTTAAGGGTTACGCAAAGAAAACAACGATTTTCTTCCATTGAAAATGGAAAAGAAATCGACAAATATAGAGAGAAAGACAGAGAGAGAGAGAGAGATAAATAAAGAAGCGAAATGTAAATATAATATAATATGATTAATAAAACAAATATCATGCATTTTCAAGCATTATTATTACAAATAGTGGCTTTTTGGTGGAATAATAAATTACATACACCTCAAAAAAAAATAATAAAAATTTTAAAACTTAAAAAAAAAATAATTAATAATTTCGGTGCCGCTCTTCATCCTTTCGCATTAAACGAAATGGAAACAAACCGGATTAGAACAAGTACAGAATACAGATTTTTCATCATCATTTTTCATCAACAAACAACAAAATTTAAAATAAAGAGGCCTATTTTTTCTTCTCGTTTAAGACACAACAACAACAACAACAAAAGTGAACCCACACACCTAGGAAACGTGTAATCAAGTATATTTAAATATAAATTAAATGATGGACAACAAACAACAACAAATAGTAATCAAGTGTGTGTGTGCGTGTAGCGCAGATCAGCAGTGTAAAAATTAAAGGCACTTCAAAGTTGCTCTCTGCTGATTGCGCTACTTTTTTTTTTCGAAATTTCTAATCATTTACTCATTTTTTTTTTAGAGCTTCAAAAGCTCTACAAACAACGACATTAAACTAAAATGAAGAAAAAAAAATGAGAGATAGAGAAAGAACACACACAATAATTAATAGTAGGCATGGGTGAAAACAAAAAAAATAAAGAGAAGAGCTATACAGCCTAAGAATTACAACTCTAAAAAACAAAACAAAATATAATCGATTCGTTTCCGATTCCAGAAAACAATTGATCCTGATCCTTCCCAAAATAATACCACTCAAAAATGCATTCAAATAATAATAATAAGTAATAAGTATAGTTGTTTACAATATAGTTTACATTATCTTAAAGTCATATTAATATAGTTTTTTTTATTTTTGTATATATATATATGTATAGATTATATTTAAATATATTTCTTATATATATATTATATATCTCTCTTCGATTAAAATTACGTTTTTTTTTCTTTTTCTTTCTAAACTCTCTTTTCCCCCGCGAATAGAAGAAAAGAATCAATCAAATCACATAGTCGTATCCCACATTTGTACAAAATAAATGCTAAGTCCTTGAAAAAAAAACAAACAAAAAAAAAACGACTACTTGATTTTCCAAGAACAATCTAAATTATTATTTAATTGTTTTTTAAATCTTTAAGACACATTTGTACGTCGCTAAAACTTTGTTTCTTTCCGAAGAAAAAAAAGTGACTAAAAACTAAATTAAATCAAACAAAACTACTATGAACACTAACAATATCTTAATATATCTTAACGATTAAAGGACTTTTATTTTTGTGCTTCGAGATCAAGAAACTCAGGAAGACGAAAAAGCTCGTAAACACGACGACGACGACGACGAAAATGTAATTTAAACAAAGAAACAAAAACTAAAATAATACAATCATCGAGATACAAGCTTTTCAAAATAATATTAATAATAATAATAAATTTAGCCCCCAAAATAAACTAAAGTAATACTATTTAGCGATACATCTGAATCTGTATATTATTTAGCACACTAAAAACATACGCGGAAAGAAACAAATTAATTATTCTAAAACACACGCACATCCATTTATGCGATAAGTACGAGACGCGTCGAAATCATTGAATTTGCGCGTTTTAAAGGAACCAAACTTGTGCTTGTGCTTATTAGTTTCTTTCTTTCCTGCTTTGCTTTATGCGATTCTCGATTAGGATTCAGAGAGAGAGAGAGATATAAAGAGAGTGTGAATGAGAGAGAGAAAAAAATTATATATATATATGGTAATAAATCGATAATCGATACAAGCCCAACCCAAAAAGAGCTGAGGCTGAGACCCGAAATGCGATTCAACTGTTTGATGCTTGTTTTCTTTTGTTTTTTTTTGTTTTTGTAATAAATGCCATGCACAAAAAAATAAAGAGGGGGGGCGTTTTTTTGATTATAATTATATAAACGATCGAGAAGCTGATGTAATATCATAATAACATGTACATGCAGAACTTTAGTAGGTGGTGGTTTATTGTAAATGTATATAGCACATAATTAAGAGGCGAGAATTAAGTCCGCAACCCAATGTATTTATATATATAAAAAAAAGAAAGTTGACCAAGACCTACCTCGAAAACAAACAAAAAAATAAGTTCTGTCGAGAGAGAGAGGAGAAAAATAAATAAAAACTAAAAAAAAAGAGAACAACGACAACGAAACAAAAGAATAATGAGGGGGGGGTTGTACGTTTTGGGGGGTGGTGGTGGTGGTAACGCGCGGTCTAGCGTCGGACATCTTTTTGGGTCGGTTACATACACTACTACACATCTTTAAACACATGTTTATATAACTTACACACTTACACATAATTATAAATATGTATGTATATATATATATAGATAGCATATATATGGTACCCTACAGCGAAAAAAAATAATGGCACTCTTTAAACTCTAATTTACAAATACAATAATGCTTAAAATAGAGACTCTACCATGCGGATAATAGTTTTGGTATTTTTCTTCATTTCATTATATATTTCATATATATATTTTATACTTTCGATCGTCTTCGAAACAAAAGTTTTATTTAGGCGCGCTTTCGGAGGGGGTTTTGGGGGGGTTTGTTTTTTTTAGGGATTGGTAATGGAGACACACAACAACTTATGGTACACAAGATGGATTATAGGAATCTTCTGTAAATACTCCTATTTTAATTAAAATTTTTTTTTTTAGCAGTGCAGATAGCGCAGGTGCAAGGATATCACAGAGTCGAGGCACTCGCTTCGTTAACTTTTAGTTTTACTTCATTTTTAGTGTAGTTTATAAATATTGTAGTTTTTTTTCTTCCCTCTTCGATTGGTTATTTAGCATCATCAAGGAGGTCGCTCACAGCTCACAGCAGAACCATTTGATGGTGTTTAACGACAAATTTTGACTAGATCGAATTTCTCGCGCGTCTTTGTATTATTTTTTTTATATCACGATGTATTGCAATAGAAATAATTCTCTTTGTATTGACTTTAAATTGTTGTGTGAAGCTTCGCGTGATGTTGCTCGAAATTTACTTTTACTTTTAATTTGAATTAGGTTGTCTTTAGTTTCTTGTAGGGTTGCATGACGACGTTGTTGTTGTTTTGGGCGGCGCTGGAGACGTTCGTCATGGCTTGGGAGACGACAGGGTATTGGGCTTGGAGGAGGTACTGGTTGTTGGCGGCGGCTGCAGCTGCGGCCGCTGCTGCGACTGAGGCGGCGTGGGACGTGGGGTAAGGCGAGGGACGCATGTATTGGTAGGGATGGGGATGATGTTGGATCAGGGTGGGCGGTGGTCGAGCGGCGATGTTCATGAAGTTGGCTTGGGACATCGCTTGCTGGTACGGATTGTGGAGGTTGTGGAGGCCGAGCGCGTGCGGATGGTGATGATGGTTGGCGGCTGCGGCGGCGGCGGCCGCTGCTGCTGCCATACCAGGTATACCCGGATACCTCATAGTCGGCGGAGGCATGTTCATCGTCTGCTTGTTCAGAGCTACGCCCGTATAGTTGAGAGCGTTCAGAGGATTACCGCCGGCGGCTGCGAGAGATTGACCGACGGCGGCCAGTTTCACAGCTTTCGCGTAATTCTGCTGAGCGACCTCCTTGGCGATGGTAGCAGGATCCGCCATGCTGACCATCGGCTGCTGAGAGCTCGCCGCAATCGACGAGGGAACGGAGGAGGCGGCGGCCGCAACGGCAGCCGCTGCCGCCGCGACGGCAGCAGCCGTCTCCGCCTCCTTCGAAATATGCACCTGCTGCTGAACTTGTTGTTGCTGCTGCTGCTGCTGTTGTTGTTGTTGGGAGGTAGCTACAGCTAATACAGATTGGGATTCGCTAGCGGCTGGTGGGGAGGCGCAGGAAGTCGCGGGGGTTGGTGTAGGCGAGGCTGTGTACTCACATGAGACGGGCACGAAGGGCTGCTGCATTTGCATGAGCTGTTGGTAGGTTGTCGCGTTCGGCTGGAACACCGGCACACCTGATTTGTCTGCTGCTGGCCGCTTGTACGGCATCATTCCCGGGAAGGTCTACACAAGAAACACACCACAAATTAACACACAATCATATACAATTACTTCAATACCACACGAGACAACATCCTAACAAAACATCAACTTCATTAACAACAACAACAACTTTATCAATCCATCATCCTTCTAAACAGGACAAGTCGATTTCCACACTAAATCCAAATTTAAAATCAATTTAACTTGAAAACTAAAGCAACGATAAAATTAATTGAAAAATTTGATAAATAAAAAATGAAAATTGACGAAACTATAAATTTAAAATAATAATGAGATACTTACAAAATTTTCATAATAAAAGTTTCCAACAGATTTCATGTCCATCTGAAACACCAAAACAGAAGGAGGTTAGTCACGCCGAGACCAGCACTCTGGATCACCAATAAAGAAAGCAACAAAAAGAAAAAAAAAACAACAGAGAAACAATAACAACAACAAAAAAAGAAAAACAACAAACGACGACCTCCGCGGCCAATGGCGATCCGAAGACACATGAACAACAACAACAACACAAATAAATGGGAAACGTCGATTCCGGATGTTCGCATGGACTGCGGAGACGTGACTTTCTTATTTTGGTTTTTTAAACTTAATTTAAAAAAATATATAATTATTATTTTTTTTGTGTTCTTGATCAAATCAATCAAACAACAAAAAAAAGAATTAAACAACATCGAAACGTATAATTAAAAACAGAGGAAGAAAAATAAACAACAATGAAAAAAAAAACAAAGTAAGTATAAGATATGTATAATTTAAGTTATTTTTTTCCGCTCAACCTATTTATATCATCGATATTTATTAATAATAAAGAAATCATATAATTGATTTTGGAAATAAAACAATATTATCATTTAGATCGCTGTAATTGCAGTTGCTAGAATGTTGCGAGTTACATGAACGATTATTGATTTGCACATCTGAAAAGATCAGAAGCTAGAGTGTTAGTAAAATAAAACAAAAACGAAAAAAAAAAAGAAAAGCCAATTTTTCGCCTAAAAAAATTTGTTCATATTAGGATAATCGTGGATTGTAATCCATGCACAAAACTGTGTATATTACAGAGGTATATTAAACAAAAAAAAAATATATAAAGCCACATAAGCTTAGTAGTAATTAGAAGAAAGCCCTAAGAGAATAAATTTGGATTATCTTCCCGATCGGAGAAGCAAGTTTGTTGCCTAGGACAAAGTTTCTCTTCTGATGACTTTGTGTAAACGATCGAAAACGAAAGTTGATGCTTCGAAAATGGTTTTAAAGTATTCTAATTTGCTAACAATACCTAAGAAAGTATCAACTAAGCTTCAGTCGTAATTTACAAATAATAACAAAAACACAATCATCGTCACTTTGTTCTGGCAACTCGATTTTTGCTGGTCTGAAAGGAGGCGGATGTTTTCGGCAACGACACACAAACAAAAGAGTAAATAAACAAAAAAATAACTATAGAAACCACGAGAGTCTGCGGCGAGGTTAGAACTTGAAAAGAAAATAAAATGTCTGAAAGCGTTTCAAAAAAAAAATTATATATAAAATCTCAGCCTCTCTCACAACATGCTAACAACTCTTTCAGGTAGCAGTTCACGCGGCTTCACTTCTCTACAAAAAAACAACGCGCTGCTCGCGTCAAAATACAAAAGCTTCAGAGGGACGTTTCTTTTTTTGGAGGCAATTTTTCGTTTGATTTAGATTTTTGGATAAAAAAGAAAAAATGTAAATTTTTAGATAGAAAATAATTGAAAAAAGCCAAGAAAACCATGGGGGGGGGGTTGGCGAGGTCGACAATAAACTAATGTGAATTGGTCAACGAAATAATTATATAACAAGGAAAAAAAAAACATAATGTAGTTTGTAGTAATAGTAGAGATAGTAGAATAGCAAGAAAGCACGATCACAAAATACAGAAGCTCTGGTACCTTAACGCAGCAAAATATATATATTGGTGGTATAAGATTTGATTTAATGGTAAAAGAGGTAAAAACTAAATCTGTTGTCCGGCGTCATTGGTCAGAAACAGAACAAAGAGAGAAGAAAAAAAAAACCTGCAAAGAGGGAAATTTTCGGAAACGCACTAACCAACCAATATAAAGAAAATAAATGGTAAAAAAAAAGGTCGGAGAACCACTACCTAAATTATAGCCTCTAAAAAGATTCGATTCTTTCGAGAAAAAAAATTTAAACAAAAACGAAAAGTGTGTGTGTTTTCAGGTGTGTAAAGAAAAACAAAAACAGTGCAAATTTTCCCAAGAGAAAATTGCACAAAAAAAAAACGAGGTGCGGCAAAGAAACTGGCCATTATAAACAATTGATTTTCGCGTGTATTTGCATCAATTGTGGCCCGTTTTTGTGACGCGTGTCCCCGTATAAAAATTTGTTATAAAAAAAAATTACGATTATATAAAAGAAAGTATATAAGAGAGTGTCATGCAAAAGCAGGCGGTACCAGTAATAGATCTGTGTCGGCGGTGCTAGGCTCTCTGGGCCTCTTCTTGCCTATCTCGAGGGCTGCAGCAGTTTGTGGCGCCAGCAAGGGCGAAACCGCAGCGGGCTATTAGTAGTAGTAGCACAGCAGCAGAATTTTCAGCAAGACCAAGCGCATCCGGGATAAATAAAACAAAACCAGCACTAAATTAATATCCCCCTTTCTTCCGTTTTATATACGTATACAATATATAATATATATATATACAAACACACACGGATACCAAAACAATACAAAAAAAAAACAAACAAAATCAAACACACAACGACAACAACTGACATAAACGTCATACGAAACTAGTAACGAAAAAAAAAAAAAAAGAGAAAACGCGCGAATTTTAAAAATTAACTGTCACGAAGTTATCGTTACTGTAAGAAAACTATTTAGGATTTAGGATTAAATCCCGTAGATTGGGCATGCCTCTCTAAACCATTCTGCAATTGAATCAAAAAAACCTGAAATTTAACCAACAAACAAGAGAATGATTTAAGTTCAATCTACGAAACCCAATCGACGAGCGCAAAATGAATGAATTAGTATTAATGAATGTAATATGATTTGAATGAGAATTTGCATGCAAACCTGTAAAGAAAAACAACGATTGTTTAAGGGACACCAAAAGCTGATTGATTTATATATAAGAAAAAAATCAAACAATCATTACGAGAAACAAACAGCGAACAACAAAAACAAAACTTCAATTACAGCTCTTTTGTTTTTTCTTTAACTCAATTATTTACTTCGATTTTAAGAGAAAATTCGTGAGGAAAACCAATAATAATTCAAAATAACGAAACGAAAAAATAATACACATAGGTCGATGTACACAGATATTATATAAATAACAAACAGAAACGAATTCGTGACGCAATGAAGAACCTTTCTATACAAAAAAAAACAAACTAAAACGTAATTCGCGCGACAGCTGAAACTCTCGTGTGATTGGATTTAGTGAACGAAATCAGAGAGTTTAACGCTTTACCTTACCTGCAAACAAGCCCTTAAGCCCAATTAATCATAAAACAAACAACAAACATGGACAGATGCAAAGATTCGTGTGTGAAATGTGTTTTTTCGCTTAAATTTTCGAAAATTCTAGTCTAATAATAATTATAATACAATCTATTATGTATTATTTTTTGAATCTAATGTTTCTTTTCGTTCGCAGGATTTTTGCTTTGCTTCAAGGCGGATCAGGGGTTTCAGCAGCCAAAAATTTATTGTTGTCCTTGCGCGCTCCAAAGTGCAGAAAAGAAAACATTTTTGTGAAACGAATGAAGTTTGTTTCAAATAATTTAACTATTTTAGACTAATTTAATACTAAAGCTAAATCTATTTACTTCAATTAGATGTCATCTATATTCACTAGAGCTTTAAGAACCAACATTTTCGTTCCGACAAATTTTTCTTTTCGCACGCAAAGAGGTGTAGTAATAAAAAAAATAAATAAAATAAGTATTTTGGCCATAGCTTGTAAAACTATTTAGCGGAGGGCTTGTTGGCAGGATAGAGTAGAGATCACATATTGTATAGATAGAAATTTTTGTGTGTGAGTGTAGAAGACGGATTCCGATGCTACCTACTCAAGGTGGAGGGCGGGTGTGGGTTTTTCTTTTGTTTTTTTTTTTTTTAGTCTAAACCGGAAATATTTGCCGTAAACTAACGCAATCTAAGCGGAATTACGGAGAAGCTGACGGATCTCGTGTCATGTTTCGAATACACATACAAATCTAAAGCGCCGCATCTATAGATTTGCACAAAACAACAAAAAAAAAATAAGAAATAAATAAGAAAATTAAAAGTAAAACAACAATCAACAAACAACAAATGGATCAAACCGGGATTTCGCGTCTCAAGAGTACTATGTAACTAGGGGGGGAGGGCGCGCGCAAATCATATAGAAACAACTGAGAAAGAGTAGAAATATAATAGAGAAAGAGAGAAGATAGAGTAAATCATAATTTAGAGAGAAAGAGAGATAGTAATAAAAACCCAACCACCGGCGGATGAACGATTGTGTGAGTAGATAATAGAGAGGTAATAATAATAATAAAGAGGTTAATAATTAAAAAAAAAACATAGCGAGTTTGTCTCATTGCATCAGGAATTTTGCTTGCTGTAACTAATGTTTACAACTAGTACAACTAATCTCTAGTAATAATAATAATAGTAGTAGTGGGCTAGGGGATTCTGAACGTACATATGTCTATTACATATTTAGAAAATATCAATATAGAAAATAACACTAAGAAATCCCCAAGAAATTATAGCTACGTGTGGGATTCGTAATTTAAACAAACTAAGAGAACATCGAAGAATCATTTAGATCCGTGATTCATTCGTATGCGAGATGAGAAAAACAATAGATTGAGTGAGTGAATCACGGATGTAGATGATCTCATGCTATTGAAAGAGAAGTAGTCTCTTCGTACTAAAGGTATTAGTAAGTAAAATGATAAGTAAAAAAAACAAACAAAACGGAAAACAACACACACTAAGAGCTTAATTAGCTAGCGAGAAGAAATAAAGAGAGAATCGAAAAGAGAAGTTAAGAATGTACGAAGAAGTTGGTCAACGATGATGCCTTCACCGGTTGATGGTGAAGGTACGATCGTTGATGGTATGTCGCGCGCGCGTTCTCTCTCTTGAAGAAGAAAAAGAAGAGAGATCGATAGAAAGTATAAAGTAAAAAGAAAAATAATAAAGTATAAGTAAGTAGTAAGTAGTAGTAATAGTAGCGAGCGTGCGGCCTAAGATTGCGTAGCATACCGCGCTAGCCCGCGACTGTGCGGCCTTGATTTGGGCTTGGAGGTGCAGAGGGGGGTGGAAATAGCGGCAGGGGTCGCGGTTGCAACGGCCCTTGACTGCATCCATGCAGACAGTGACAGTGCCGTCCTCGTTGGCCGTCACAGAGTCGGCGGGATGCGCAAAGCGGCACTCAGACTCTGCTCGCTTGCACGCCCCGCGTTGGAACTCGCGGCACACCTACAGCAGACACCCGGCTCAAGCCACCGCTGCAATGCACCAGGTATCCGGAACACAAGACACCACCACACTTCTTCATCATCAACATCATCACCTAACTCTATACACGTCTGTGTTCCGGACACCTGGACTCTTTGATCAACTTTCTTCATCCCAAACCGACGCATCCTCAAACAAACCTAAGCTGTATCGCTCACTCACACTACACCCGAGGTGTACCTTCAAATTGCTGATAAATTAAAAATACCACACAAAACCAAAGAGTCAATCCATGAGCCACGTATGCCCAATTACAAAATTAACACATTCAGAATACCTTGTAGGGTACCTTAGACATGTAACATTTAGGGTACCTTCAAATTGTATATTTAGATATATATTTAGTTTAGAACTTATATGGAGCATACCTTCAAACGATTTCTGATAAAAGGTATACCAAGAGCAATTTTGAATGTAAACTAATAAGTTTACCTTCAAATTTCAAATTTATCAAAAACTATTAGATTCAATTACAAAAGGTGAATCAACAAATGAATTCACAAACCTTCAATTTTAAAGATTAAGGAATTAATTTTTTCATTACAAATATTTATGTCGTATGAAATATTCTGGAGGTACCTTCAAATTGCTGATAAATTAAACGTACCACACGAAACCAAAGAGTCAATCCATGAGACACGTATGCTCAATTACAAAATTAACACATTCAGAATACCTTGTAGGGTACCTTAGACATGTAACATTTAGGGTACCTTCAAATTGTATATTTAGATATCTATTTAGTTTAGAACTTAAATGGAGCATACCTTCAAACGATTTCTGATAAAAGGTAAAGCAAGAGCAATTTTGAATGTAAAATAATAAGTTTACCTTCAAATTTCAAATTTATCAAAAACTATTAGATTCAATTACAAAAGGTGAATCAACAAATGAATTCACAAACCTTCAATTTTAAAGATTAAGGAATTAATTTTTTCATTACAAATATTTATGTCGTATGAAATTTTCTGGAGGTACCTTCAAATTGCTGATAAATTAAACGTACCACACGAAACCAAAGAGTCAATCCATGAGCCACGTATGCTCAATTACAAAATTAACACATTCAGAATACCTTGTAGGGTACCTTAGACATGTAACATTTAGGGTACCTTCAAATTGTATATCTTGATATATATTTACTTTAGAACTTATATGGAGCATACCTTCAAACAATTTCTGATAAAAGGTATACCAAGAGCAATTTTGAATGTAAAATAATAAGTTTACCTTCAAATTTGAAATTTATCAAAAACTATTAGATCCAATTACAAAAGATAAATCAACAAATAAGTTTTAATTAGCAATAATATTTTCACAAGTCATAGGTTAAATTCAATTTTTAAGATTAAGGAATTAAATTTTTCAATACAGATATTTATGTCGTACCTTCAAATTGGTACCATCAACGATATTTAGATTCAGTTACAATATTTAAACTAAAGAAGCCAACATGATCAGGTATACCAATTAAAGGGTTTACCTAAAGTTAATAGAGCAAAGGTATACCTTCAATTTTCCAGTAAAAAACTGTAAAATTTCCATAGCAATTTGATGAGGTGTCTTTTTAACAAGTATCTTGCAATTTTGTTGGTACACCAAAAACTATCCACAGAAATCGTGAAAATGTAATATGTATACTTTGATTCAGTGTGTATGAAGATGCGACGGCTTAAAGATAAATAAATACAGTACACTACAAGGTAAAAGATAGAGAGAGATAGACGGGGGTCAGGTAAACCAAAACTTTCCAATTAAAAACGTGCGCCCTTTATTTCCTTCCACATTCAGCAATCATCAAGACTTTATTTACTACATACTTTTTTTTTAAATATACGTTCATATTCAATTTTTAGCAACAAAAAAAGGAGAACAGACAACGAGAAGCGAAATAATGGGCGGCTTTTAATTGAAAAGGGACACAAATATAGGAAATTCAAAAAAATACGAAACAGAAAGGACGAGTAAAGTCTTTTCACATTTTGTGCCCCACATACAATCAATCAATAATTGAAACTAAAGAACTAAAGTCGTCGCAGCAGGTGAACCAAGGCACAAAACCGCAGTGGATTCAATTAGAAATATTTCGATTAATTTTATTTATATAACAAACAAACAAAAAAAAACATACGAGTATGTAGACGGCGCCGACTAGATTCGAATCTCGTGTATAATACGCACGCAATCCGCTAATTCCGAATATTTTTTTTTGGAACGATTCTAATCTAAATTTAATACAATAAAGGGAGTCGTGTATTCACAATTTACGTGCGCCAAGTATGAAAATTTTAAACAAATAAATTTCCCAAAACGAAACAAAAAAAATAATGGTTTTATGCCTAGCCACCGCCCCAGAAATCGAGATGCTAATCACATATGCCCGCATGTATTACGAACAACTGCGAATCGAGACTTCGTGGATGCATTATGGATGAAATTAAATAATTGAAAAGAAGGGCGTCCGAACTGAATCGAAGGACGAAACGCAATGCACGGAATTGGAGAAAAAAAAGAACTACAAAGAGAGAGAGACAGAGACAAAACAGTATCAAAAATGCAGAGATAGAGAGAGAGGAGAGTAACAAAAACATTGGAGGTGGAAATAGTTCGGGCGAAGGAGCGAAACAAAGGAATTGAAGTTGGAAACAAAAGAATGGGAAACATGGGGAAACAATCGATACGTACAACATTGAATAATTTAAAAGTGGCCTCTGTCTGTGTCTCACTCTCTCGTGCAACCGCAGCAGGAGGAAGAGGAAAAATGTGGATAACAAAAAAAAAAGTAGTAATGAAAATAACGTGAAACCCGGGGGGCGGTTATAAATTCCGAGCTAATAATTCCCGAACGCTTTTTATATTATCGTCTGCAATGACAATAAAGCCGCAACGGAAATTGTCGAAAAAAAAACCAAACAAAAACACCAATTGGTTCATAGCTCAATTGATTTACCAAATTATTATATTTTTTTATTAAATTATTCTAAAAACTAAATTGTGAATACTAATAGCATCTCGATTTTCCTAACTAAAAATTGAGAGCAAAAACTGAAATGTATGTGCAGCACAAAGTGGAGATTACTTAACATCATGTGAAATAGGTCTTGTACATAGGGGAGATAATATATATAGAGAGATAAAGAGATAAAGTATGTACATGTATAAATATAACAAATTCAGAGGGGGTAATATATTTTGTTTGATTTACTACGGACTAAAGTTAATAAAAATATATATAGAGAAAGTAGAGGCACATAATAGGTGTGTGATGTGATTAATTAGATTTATATATATGTATATAATAGGGAGGCGCTTTATAATTAGTGTGTGAGCAATGGATGATAAGTGTTAATGAATGAACAAATAAAAGAAAAAGTAAATTAAACAAAAAAAAAAACTGGACAAAATTAAATGATGCAGGGGGAGTTTCTGTTTACCTCTAGGACCTAGTTTCTAGGCAGAGTAGAAGCTTAACCCAAGTAAAGGTCTAAAATAAATAAAACCTAAAGATAATAAATAAATAAAAAGAAAGAAAATAATAATAATAAAAATCAAATAATTGAGAATGAATGGTGGATTATGCGAGTGTGTGTGTGTGTGTTAGATCAGTGTAAAAAGGTGAAGTAGTGATTATATCTTAGGTCTAGGATGGTGTGAGTGTAATGTTGGGGCGGCGGTGGCATCTGGTGGAGACATACCTCTAATCTGTCGGAGCGAGGCATCTTCTGTGGAGCGACGACGGTCTGAGGAACTACACCGAGGGGGGAAGCGACCCCCGTTGGGTCTGGACCCATGATGGTCGGCATGATGGGCCCCGGGGCGAAGTACGGGCTGTACGTGTTGCCCACCTGAGGCATACTCGTCAGGTACGGATTGGCGGCCTACGTCATGGTACGACGATGAGAAGAGATAGAGAGAGAGAAAACAGAAAGAAAAAACACAGAATTAGCATGAGAAAGGTCTGATCCGAACAAAAATCATCTTATATAATTATAATTTATATATATATATATACGAGTATTATATAATTAGTAAGACAACGAAAAAAAAATATATATATATTGGCAAGCAAGCGGTGTGCAGTAACTTTAAATTTCTACATTTAAAATTTTAGTTTTTAACTTTTATTTCGTTGGTATCAACCGAATGGTGTGCAGGTAGCAGAATGGTAGTACTGTGCATGGATACATTAAAAATGCAGAGCGCGTCCCTTTTTTTTTGCATACAATCGCGAACTCCATCAGTCACATAGAGTAGTGCAAATATGAGAGCGAATTTGCGCACAATGGGTCCACGTTATTACTAGGTCCTGTCTATTAAGGGCGCAGACCCATTGTTAATCCGAACCCTTTCTCTGTCCGACAGACAAAAAGGACGTACCACTAGCATTCAAAAAAAAAACAACTATTTTTTAACTCTAAATCAAGAGAAATCATTTCAAAACTAATCGACTAAAAAACATTCATCAATCGCTATTTATTCAGATGAAAAGAAATTAAGTGATTTATTATAATTAATAATAGTTGGCTATGTCAATGTTATCTAATTGTTTTTATATAGAACCGTGCACAGTACTAAAAACTTCTACCGCTTATAAAAAGCTCCAGTTAAAGTTCTAAAGTGGACTTTAACGGAAACTTATATATATATTTTTTTTTAAATTACTTTGCCGCGAGAGAATAGCGAAAAAAGCGAAGCGTTAATATAATAATCATTAATTAATAAATTATTTTTTTTGTTCGTTACATAATTAATATTTATATATATATATATACAAGCTTTGTCTTGTTGTATTTTAAGTAATACCGGAATCCGGACGGAGGCGATCGTGTCAGCTCGCCTTTACATTGTTAATTTTTATTTCGCTTGATTTACTTCTATTTTTTTTTGTAGCTTAACAACAAAAACGATTGGTTGGCGGTGATCGGAGAGATCCCTCCGGATTCCGGCAGTAATTTCATGATCGAGTTACCATAAGTGCATACTGTTCGTCTACTGATATGGAGAGGTGTTGCGGGAAGAGGTTCAGGGGTAGGCACTCGTACTGGGGTTCCACCTCCAAATAAATTAACCCAAATTAGTTCGAAAAACAGAAAAAAAAACAGAAAAAACATAACAACAACAACAACAACAAAAATCAACGAAAAACAAAAACACAGTAGTAATAGTAGTAGTCACAAGTATCAGTGAGAGATAGAGAAATAGTAAAAGAAAATTCGGCTACCCAGAAGAAGCTATTCGCATCTCTCGCTTCACGCCATCTACAATCGCAATTTACAATTTAAATTGACAAGTATTAATACGCCATCTACAATCGCAATTTACAACTTAAATTGACAAGTAAAATTTATATAGTCGATGACGTATCAGCGAGAGATCGAAGTAAATTATAGAGAAACCATGCAAAATTAAACAAAAAAAAACAATCTTTCGTGTATTTCGTTTATAGAAAGAAAACAATATGAATTATATTTTGTACAAATATTACAAAAAAAAAATATTAAATAATATTAATATTAAATATTTTTTTCTTTCCATTCGAAATACTCGTCAGATCAATCGAAGAGCCAAGATTATACAACTTAATTAAGCCTCAATTATTTTTTTTTTTGGTAGAATTAATTTATAAATAAAATTTTAAGTTTGAGAAATTTCAATTATAATTCCAAAAGTTAATACAATTCTTACGTTAAGTTCTTTGAAAGTAGCTCGAAGTTGGTTTAATAACGTGCGCTTCAAAGAAACGCTGCTTCTTTCAAACTTTTTATTTTTTTTTCCCTATGTGAGTATAGAAATAAATATACGGAGTGAAAAACTTAATTGGTTTATCTTGGCTCCTGAATTGCGGCTAGACCAAAAAAAATTAATTATATTGGTACTAAACAGTAATTTCGTTATTTTGAAGTCGTGCAAACAAAGAGAAAAATAAAACTTTAAATTATAAATAAATGTGAAAATGAAAATAAACAAACAAACAAGAATTTTTGAGATAGATTCGAGTAAGATAGAAAAAAAGAGAGTAAGAGTAAGAGAGAGAGATAATGATTTGAACTTACCACCGCAGGAACCTGTCCAGGAACAATGGGTTGGCCGGGCGTGAGACCCATTTGTTGCATGAGCGCATTCTTCAGCGCCAGATGATTCCTTCCGTTGATGAGGAGCTGATCCTTCAGATGCTGCGGCGGATGGAAATACTTGCACGGAGGCTTTTCCCTGTTACACCGACCCTGCAATTAAAAAAAAAAAAAACAAACATGAAACATCAGTACAGAGTTTTGTCGCAGACAAACAACTATAACTCGAGTTGCAAAAAGGTCGCAGCACGATCTTCCATCCACCTTTATTTTTATATGATTTTCGTTTCGGTATTGAAGCTTCTTTATTTTTCGTTCAGTCGGAATGGACGAAGATGTGAAGAGTGAAAGAGAGAGAGAGAGAGATGTTCGCATTAAAGGGAAGCAAAAAGAAAAGGGTCTCTGCTCAAAGGATCCGCCGGAATGTATCTTCTGTAATGAAGAGTGATGGCAACGCGGCGACATAGAGAGAGGGAGAGATGTGTATCAAAAGTTTCCAGTTCTGGCTTTATGTTCAGCGCGCGAAACTCCTCAGCCACTTGATTTGGTGCAGATCAAAGAAGAAACGCCACCAGTCGTCGCAGCGTACGGTTGTAGTAACAAGATCTGTGGGACGGGTGAGGACGTGCACGTCCTCAACTCGAGAATCGACAAGGAAAGGAAATTTCAAAGAAATGACTGGCAAATCCACGAATTTGAAATGGGGGTTGGTTTATTAGACGTAATTGCGGAGATAATCAAAACGTGCGGCCGGACACTCCGCTCCGAAAACCCCCTCGGACTTTATAACGAGCAAATTAACAAACTTATGGCAAAGTTCGGTTGGAGAGTGTGAGCAAGTGTATATAGCTCAAGGATAGAGACGGAGAGAGAGAGAGAGAGTTTCCATCCCAACGATGTCGGTTAGATAAACCCTTAAGTAACTTCTGGACGGCTATCGGATAGATTAGACGCGGAGCTGAGGCGAAACCCGAGGAAATTTCGTAACAGCTGATGCATCATAAAGGGGGGAAAATGATGCGGCCAATTATATTTCTCTCTCTCTCTCTCTCTTGCTCCCTCCTTCTCTAGTTCTCTCCACACGAAACGCTTCTCCAATCTTATCTCCGAACCCAGAATTGGAGCGCAAAACATCATGTTTTCCCGGAAATCCAAATACCATTAATCCCTTAACTACCATCATCATCATCATGATATACATGTACAGATACGGATTTCCTATTTTTATTCCTTCCATCATGACCATTCTTGCGTGCATACACTATGGTTCGGTATAATTGCCGCATTCTAATATCACGACTCCGAAGAAAACGGGAAGGAATAGGAACGACATAAATAACGCTCCCATAAAAGTTTGTAAATCAAATCTTACGCTCGACGGCGTGACTCATGTGCGTTTTACGACTGATCTCCGGGCAGATTGAAAATTGTTACAGCATAAACTCCACTTCCATGCACACGAAAAGAAAGAAAGAAAGAAAGAAAGAAACAAAAACAAGGTAGATCTAAAAAAAAAACGGAAGATTTACGTTCCTCAATCATTCGTGGTTATTCTAAAACAGCAAAGAAAAGTACTTAAATAACTAGGAATGATATCGATTTCGATTGTGGTGAAATCAAATGTAAATCAACGTGAGCTGGAATGCATAAATGGATGAGGGACGTGTGTGCACGCGCGTGAAAACCGGAAGTTTCCGGTATAATTGACGCGAGGTTTTTCCACCGTAAAAACGAACGAAATTTATCAGAAAATGGGGCGTCCGTGCCGTTCCGTTAAATCGCGCAAGTCATTCGAAAAACTTTCATTACATTACGGCGCCTCCATTTGCCAGATTAGAAAAAGACGAAGGAAGAGGGAAAAAAAATAATAAAAGGTGGGTAACCCAGTTTTCGCATCCGTCGATGATGGCAAAACCCGATAAATAATCATAGACAAAGTTGATTTGCAATTAAAGAGAGAAGGAATGCGCTTTAGGGGTTGGAAATTGATTTTAGCAAATAACCATTGCAAACACAAAGAGGAGAGTTAATTACAGTTATTGCTTGGATATGACCGTTCATGAGCGGAATGGGATCTCTCCCCTTTTTCGCCCCGAACTGTCTGTTTGCTTATGCAAGATCATTCCTTACTTCCACATCGAGGGAGGCAGTGGCAGAGTTTAGTAGAATTGAGTGGAGAGAACCCTCGGAAAATGTATCGGATTTATGCGGCGGTGGCGGCGGCGGCGGTACAGCCTGACAAATGGCCGCCAGCTTTGGCCGGAACCGCAACAGCACACATTTCATCATCATCATCATCATCATATTCCCAACCCAACCAATAAAAGGAAATTAATATATCGAAAAGCGAGATAAAATAAAAGTAATCGCGAGAAACCAGGTGCAAACGTATCATCATCATCATCAATAACAACCATCATCATCATCATTCACTCGCAACGGCTGCAATATTTCAATATCCAAATTCAGATCATCCTAAAACCGCACTTCACTTCCTCCTTTTACAACCAAACTTCAAAAAAAAAATCCTCCTTAAACCATATTCTACGCTCCATTAAACTCCCGATTATTAACGGATTGCTTAAGCAAAATAAAGGGAATAAATATAAGAGTGGGAAATTTGAATTGCGTTAGAAGAGGATATACTCTGGGGCACCGTCAAAAGCCTGTATATCTATACATTATATTTTTTTTTTTGGATATTCTCGTTGTTTGCGTCGCTGAAGGATTTTCCATCACGTACAGGAAATTGCGTGTGTGCATGTATGCGAGGCGTTCGGACAATGGAGAGGGCGGCTATCTCGATTCGTGTGCATTTGCTCGAAAAACCCACCACCACCCCAAAAAAAAAAAATAGATTAGAGAATCGCCTCCAGCTCGGCAATAAAAACAAGGAGAATGAGATAATCCGAGTTATTTAATTAAAAATCCGAGAAATTTAATTAACCCGGCAAAAAATTTTTTCTTAATTTTTCTTTGGGAAATTACTGCGACGAAATAAAAATCGCATCTGCAATTTTTTTCTTCTATTTAGTTCTTTTAATCCTGGTAGAATTAGTGAATAAAGACGGAAATGAAGAAGTGGAGGAGGAATGGGGCCAGAGGATTATGCGATCCGCGTGCAAATTGCGCGGAAAATGGTTTGGGGTCAAAGAGGAATTCTGGATTGCATTTAGTGAGATGGGGAGGCGACCAGGTGGGATTCCATACACGATGATCAAGTCCACCTCGTAATACGCATTCCGTACATTCGAGAAATGCTGCTGCCGCACCATTACAGACGGACATCGTCCGGCAATAATTCGCGCATTTCCGGCCATCAAATAAATAAATTTAACAATAAAACCAAGAAGGTGAAAAGAGAATCCGTCGAATTTAATAAGAGACAAATTGGCTTCAAAGCCCCGATTCGTCGCGGATGCACATAATACGGGGGAGAGAAGGATATATTTCATAAATATAAAACCTGCAGCAGCGCGCTTATTTTCCGCTTTTGATGTTAACTGATGGCAGGAAATAAATTTAGCCGAGGCAACAGGTTGTCAGAAGTGGCGACAAAAGTGTGCGAGATGCATTCGCTCTCTCTCTCCTCCCGTTTCCATGGGGATGATTCAACGCCGTCTCGCGCCCACTGCTTCCGCGTGAAAACGCGAGAGGGCGGCGAACGAGTTAAGAGGACTTCCGCCCTCCAGAGCAATTAAAAAAAAATATAAATATACGTACTCACATGAAAGCACATTCATATTCATATGGGCGCGCATCCGTACGTCCACCGAGATTATTAAATTTCACAAACAAAAGTTGCATTTTTATATTACATTTTATTAAGAAGTTAAAAAATTTGAGATACTTTTCAAAAAAAATTGAATTTAAAGTAACGACTTTGTTTATTGACTCAAAGTTTGTGGTTTATGAGATTTATTATTCAGTGTTCAAAAGAAAAAAAAAAGAAGGCGGTTGTTAAATTAGAAAACTTTGTTTCGCCTTAATGAATCGCATTTGAATTAAGACTTCTTTTTTTTTTATATCAAGTTCGCAAATTGGATTAGGCGCGAAGAAATTAAGGGCGCACAATTTTTGCTCCTAACTCTTAATTAAGCAAAAAAAAAAAAAGAAGCAATTTGCGTGGTAGTCCGATCATTGCGGTTGTTCACTTTTTATTACTTATTTTTCGCAAGGTGCGAAATCATGTGTTGTTTGTTGTCAGAGGCGAAGGGGGTTGCTGCGCTCAGTGGAGCGCGTAATCAGAGGAGCCAAGATCCAAGACGGCGTGCATAATGGCCCCATCTCGGTGTGTTGTTACCATGGTTACTTATTGATATTTGCGTTAAGATAAACCCGCATCGAAACGGATTATAATGGAATTTTCGTGTCCGTTGGGGGAGGGAGGGAGGCTTTAGTTATTTATTGCAAATCACATCTCATTGCACCACCTCCTTAATGCCACTTAAGCCTACACCACCCCCAACCGGCGTCGCGACGTACCAAAACAACAGATGTTTCGTTATCCCTCTCTCTCTCTCTTCCTATTTTTTTTACACAGCCAACCCTGCATTTTTTTTTGCACCCTCATCCCACGCGCGCGGAATTAACGAGCGCCATCTAGCGAATTAAGTAGAACTTTTCGTCGCTTATTAGAACGAACGGCCGTGCAAACATTCACCTTAATTGGCGGATAAATGTTTATTGGACGGAATCTCATTTCACTGCTCTGCTCCTTTTTTCTTTTCGTTGGTTGGGGGGATATGTTTTTTTTTTGCTCTCTGCTTCATTCTTCCTGTGTTCGCTGTTTGCTTACCCCCTGAGGTCGAGGAGGAGTTTGGGTTTCTGAATTTATCGTTATGCCTCTGACGACGATAGTTTTCGCAGAGTGTTAGTAAGGGTGGAAAGAGGTGGAAAGAGGAGGAAGTGAGAGAGCGAGAGAAGGGCACTCTGGGTACGCTCTGGGGAGACGTGAGTTGGCTACGTGGCTCTCCCCCGGGACCCGTTTACCTGCCCAACGACTGATTGGGAACCGGCAACTTGTCCGACGGACCGTGTAGTTCCATCTCCAACTCCAACTCCGGAAAACCATCCCATCCCCTCAACAGACACATACACATTCGTATTCGACCACTCCGGGGATGCTTTCCGCTTTGATCAGCGCCGAAATT